AGTCTTACGACGGTCCAAGAATTTCACCTCTCGCGTCGTAATACTAATGCCCCCAAACTGCTCCTATTAATCATTACCTCTTGATCTGAAAACCAATGAAAGCAGAACTGAGGTCTTATTTCATTATCCCATGCACAGAATATTCAGGCATTTGAAGCCTGCTTTAAGCACTCTAATTTGTTCAAAGTAATTGTACCGGCCCACAATAACACTCGTTTAAGAGCACTAATGCAGGTTTTTAAATAGGAGGAACATATGAAAGAATACAAGTATTCAAACACATATAAGAACTCCACCGGTAATACGCTTACATACATAAAGGTATAGTACTAACCACAATTGTAAGTTGTACTACCCGTATGAAGCACAAGTTCAACTACGAACGTTTTAACCGCAACAACTTTAATATACGCTATTGGAGCTGGAATTACCGCGGCTGCTGGCACCAGACTTGCCCTCCAATTGGTCCTTGTTAAAGGATTTAAAGTGTACTCATTCCAATTACAGGGCCTCGGATATGAGTCCTGTATTGTTATTTTTCGTCACTACCTCCCCGAGCTGGGAGTGGGAGTGCCTTCCTTAGATGTGGTAGCCGTTTCTCAGGCTCCCTCTCCGGAATCGAACCCTGATTAACCGTTACGCGTTGCAACCATGGTAGTCCTAGATACTACCATCAAAAGTTGATAGGGCAGACATTTGAAAGATCTGTCGTCGATACAAGACCATACGATCTGCATGTTATCTAGAGTTCAACCAATATAACGATCTTACGATCGCTTGGTTTTAGCCTTATAAAAGCACATGTCCCATAAGGTTCATGTTTTAATTGCATGTATTAGCTCTAGAATTACCACAGTTATCCAAGTAACTGTTAACGATCTAAGGAACCATAACTGATATAATGAGCCTTTTGCGGTTTCACTTTTAATTCGTGTGTACTTAGACATGCATGGCTTAATCTTTGAGACAAGCATATAACTACTGGCAGGATCAACCAGAATAATGTTTTTTCTTCATATTTCATTCATATTTTTATACCCTTGCAGAGGGTATTATAATTTTGGTCAAAAGTGTGCAACGCAGTGAAGGAGACTTCTCCGACCCTATAAAGTATATATATTCTTGATCAGGATCACCTCCTGAGTTGATATAGCCATGTCCGTCTGTCCGTCTGTCTGTCCGTCTGTCTGTCCGTCTGTCTTTTTCTACGCGAACTAGTCTCTCAGTTTTAAAGATATCGAATTCAAACTTTGCACACACCCTTCTTTCCTTTGCACGCAGTATATAAGTCGGAACGGCCGGGATCGGCCGACTACATCCTATAGCTGCCATATAACTGATTGATCGGAAATGCCATAACTCTGCTGTTTGTTAAGTTAGAAAGTTGGGACCTTCTATGGGTTTCATATTTGGCCAATCAATCCGACGTACCAAATTTCATAAGGATCGGCCGACTATATCCTATAGCTGCTATATAACTGATTGATCGGAAATGCCCTAACCTTGGTGTTTGTGAAGTTAGGAAGTTAGGATTTTCTATGGGTTTTATATTTGGCCAATTAATCTGACCTACCAAATTTCATAAGGATCGGCCGACTATATCTTATAGCTGCCATATAACTGATTTATCGGAAATGCCATAACTTTGGTGTTTGTTAAGTTAGGAAGTTGGGACCTTCTATAAGTTTTATATTTGGCCAATCAATCCGACGTACCAAATTTCATAAGGATCGGCCGAATATATCCTATAGCTGCTATATAACTGAACGATTGGAAATGCCATAACTTTGGTGTTTTTAAAGTTAGGAAGCTGGGATTTTTTATGAGTATTAAGAATGCATCATATGAATAATTTTGGAGAATATAATTTGCAGAATATTCTGCAAGGGTATTTCAACTTCGGCTCCGCCCGAAGTTAGCTTTCCTTTCTTGTTTGAATAGAAATTAGCAATGTAAGTATTTATATATTTTTATACCCTTGCAGAGGGTATTATAATTTCAGTCAAAAGTTTGCAACGCAGTGAAGGAGACATTTCCGACCCTATAAAGTATATATATTCTTGATCAGCATCACCAGGAGAGTCGATCTAGTCATGTCCGTCTGTCCGTCCGTCTGTCCGTCTGTCCGTCCGTTTCTACGCAAACTAGTCCCTCAGTTTTAAAGCTATCTGCTTGAAACTTTCCCAAAAGTTGTATTTCTATTGCAGGTAGTATATAAGTCGGAACGAGCCGGATCGGGCCACTATATCATATAGCTGCCATATAACTGAACGATCGGAAAAGCCATAACTTTGGTGTTTGTAAAGTTAGGAAGTTGGGATTTTCTATGGGTTTTATTTTTGGCCAATCAATCCGACCTACCAAACTTCATAAGGATCGACCGACTATATCCTATAGCTGCCATATAAGTGATTGATCGGAAATGCCATAACTTTGGTGTTTTTAAAGTTACGAAGTTGGGATTTTTTATGAGTATTAAGAATGCATCATATGAATAATTTTGGAAAATATAATTTACAGAGTATTCTGCAAGGGTATATCAACTTCGGCTCCGCCCGAAGTTAGCTTTCCTTTCTTGTTTATACATAATTTTATTAATATATTTTTCTAATATTTTTTATATATACATATATTTTATTCTAAAATATCATTTTATTTCGACATACATAATTATTGTATCCACACATGTACAATTTTTGTTTAACCAATATAAATATTGAGTTAAATCATTTGTATTTTGTTGATCAATTTAAAATTGATCATTTTCATATAACTCTCTAGTAATATATAATATAAAACCGAGGCGCATATGAAAATTGTTTTATTTATTTTATATATATTCCTTATTATTAATATAATTAATATTATATTAACAGCTTGGGGCAGAACCGAAGTAAAATTAATTATATCAGACTGCCCCCTACCTTAACGATAATAACTGGAAACCAAATGTTGTTATTATAACCCATTGGCTATATAACCTTGGCACTACGTTTCAACTCTATTATCAGCTATGATCAAATATAACCGCTCAGCCAAGTCCCATATCGGCAAAGATAAGGATACAAATTACACGATTATATCTAATATTTATTTTTATACCCTTGCAGAGGGTATTATAATTTTGGTCAAAAGTGTGCAACGCAGTGAAGGAGACATCTCCGACCCTATAAAGTATATATATTCTTGATCAGGATCACCTCCTGAGTTGATATAGCCATGTCCGTCTGTCCGTCTGTCTGTCCGTCTGTCTGTTTCTACGCGAACTAGTCTCTCAGTTTTAAAGATATCGAATTGAAACTTTGCACACACCCTTCTTTCCTTTGCACGCAGTATATAAGTCGGAACGGCCGGGATCGGCCGACTATATCCTATAACTGCCATATAACTGATTGATCGGAAATGCCATAACTCTGCTGTTTGTTAAGTTAGGAAGTTGGGACTTTCTATGGGTTTTTTATTTGGCCAATCAATCCGACGTACCAAATTTCATAAGGATCGGCCGACTATATCCTATAGCTGCTATATAACTGATTGATCGGAAATGCCATAACTTTGGTGTTTGTGAAGTTAGGAAGTTGGGATTTTCTATGGGTTTTATATTTGGCCAATCAATCCGACCTATCAAATTTCATAAGGATCGGCCGACTATATCCTATAGCTGCCATATAACTGAACGATTGGAAATGCCATAACTTTGGTGTTTTTAAAGTTAGGAAGTTGGGATTTCTTATGAGTATTAAGAATGCCTCATATGAATAATTTTGGAGAATATAATTTACAGAATATTCTGCAAGGGTATTTCAACTTCGGCTCCGCCCGAAGTTAGCTTTCCCTTCTTGTTCTTATATATTATTGACAAAAGTATACGAATTTCATATATTTTGTTCAATCTTAGACGGACAACTACTGACCATCTTATATATGTTTTTGACCACGCTGTCTTGAAATCGGGTATTTTCAATTGTGTTTGCCACCCCACATATGGGACCTTTATATTAATATAAAAGAATATCAATATATAATTTTTATATATATTATTATTATGGTATAATACCATTAATAAATATTTTTATCCAAGTAATTCATTTATTTATTATAGGTATTGACAAAATCATATGAATATCATAAGTTTTGAGCAATACCTATACTTAGGGCAGCCAGCCCACGGTCTGCCCCCTATATATGTTTTTGACCACGAAGCCATTCAATGGGTCATTTACAGTACTAGAAACCACCCAACGCATGGTTTTTCTATAGATTTCTATATATTTCTATATATTTCTATATATTTGCCTTATATTTCCATATATTTTTCTATGGAAATGTATAGATTTCCTTAGATTTCTATACATTTATTTGTGGCTATATAGATATAATTCATATATATATATGGTATATTATACCATTTTCATATATATTTTCATATATCTATACAATTAATTTATTTGCAACATATATTGACAAAATCATATGGATATCATAAGTTTTGAGCAATAGTATCAGCCACGGCCTACCCCCTATATATGTTTTTGACCACGAAGACATTCAATGGGTCATCTACAGTACTAGAAACCATCCAACGCATGGTTTTTCTATAGATTTCTAAGGATTTCTATACATTTCCTTCATATTTCCTTATTATTTCCATATATTCCTTTATTTTCATATATATTTCCATAGTTTTCTACAGATATCTATAGATTTCTATATATTTGCCTTATATTTCCATATATTTCTATATATTTATACCCTTGCAGAGGGTATTATAATTTCAGTCAAAAGTTTGCAACGCAGTGAAGGAGACATTTCCGACCCTATAAAGTATATATATTCTTGATCAGGATCACCTCCTGAGTTGATATAGCCATGTCCGTCTGTCCGTCTGTCCGTCTGTCCGTCTGTCTGTCCGTCTGTCTGTCCGTCTGTCTGTCCGTCTGTCTGTTTCTACGCGAACTAGTCTCTCAGTTTTAAAGATATCGAATTGAAACTTTGCACACACCCTTCTTTCCTTTGCACGCAGTATATAAGTCGGAACGGCCGGGATCGGACGACTATATCCTATAGCTGTCATATAACTGAACGATCGGAAATGCCATAACTTTGGTGTTTGTAAAGTTAGGAAGTTGAGATTTTCTATAGGTTTTATTTTTGGCCAATCAATCTGACCTACCGAATTTCATGAGAATCGGCCGACTATATCTTATAGCTGCCATATAACTGAACGATCGGAAATGCCATAACTTTGGTGTTTGTTAAGTTAGGAAGTTGGGATTTTCTATGGGTTTTATTTTTAGCCAATCAATCCGACCTATCAAATTTCATAAGGATCGGTCGACTATATCCTATAGCTGAACTGAACGATTGGAAATGCCATAACTTTGGTGTTTTTAAAGTTAGGAAGTTGGGATTTTTGATGAGTATTAAGAATGCATCATAGGAATAATTTTGGAAAATATAATTATAGAGTATTCTGCAAGGGTATATCAACTTCGGCTCCGCCCGAAGTTAGCTTTCCTTTCTTGTTTTTTATTCATTTCTATATTTTTCTATGGATATGTATAAATTTGTATAGATTTCCTTAGATTTCTATACATTTATTTTTGGCTATATAGATATAATTCATATATATATGGTATATTATACCATTTTCATATATATTTTCATATATCTATACAATTAATTTATTTCCAACATATATTGACAAAATCATATGGATATCATATATTTTGAGCAATAGTACTACTTCAGGGTGCCAGCCACGGCCTACCCCCTATATATGTTTTTGACCACGAAGACAATCAATGGGTCATTTACAGTACTAGAAACCATCGAACGTATGGTTTCTATCAATTTATTTCTGACAATATAGATATAACTTATAGTTTTATTGGTATATTATACCATTTCTATACATTTTTTACATTTCTATATATTTTTTCATATATTTCTATAAATTTTTATAGAAATTTATACATTTCATTTAGATTCCCATATATTTCTATATATTCAAATATATTTCTATAAATTTACTTTATATTTGCTTTATATTTCTATATATTTCGTTATATTTTCGTTACATTTCGTTATATTTTTGTTGATTTCTATAGATTTCTATAGATTTCTATAGATTTCAATAGATTTCCATTGATTTGCATTTCCTTATATTTCTATATATCTATACATTTCTATAGATTTCTATTCATTTCCATATATTTCTATATATCTATACATTTCTATAGATTTCTATTTATTTCCATACATTTCTTTATATTTCCATATATTTCTATATATCTATACATTTCTATAGATTTCTATTTATTTCCATACATTTCTTTATATTTCCATATATTTCTATATATCTATACATTTCTATATATCTATTTATTTCCATACATTTCTATTTAATTCCATACATTTCTTTATATTTCCATATATCTATAGATTTCCATACATTTCTATACATTTTTTTATATTTCCATATATTTCTATATATCGCTATGACGTCGCTATGAACGCTTGGCCGCCACAAGCCAGTTATCCCTATGGTAACTTTTCTGACACCTCTTGTTAAAAACCCTTTAAACCAAAAGGATCGATAGGCCGAGCTTTTGCTGTCCCTGTGTGTACTGAACACCGAGATCAAGTCAGCATTTGCCCTTTTGCTCTATATGTGGTTTCTGTCCGCACTGAGCTGGAGTCAAACTCCCTACCTGGCAATGTCCTTGAATTGGATCATACCTGAGTAATTGGAGTTATACCAAATTTTCAAATCAAAAATACATAAATGCACTGATACTTTGATCAAGAAGCTTGCATCAAAACCCAATACCATAAGATATAATGGCTAGGAAATGATACACGTTCCATTTAATCAAGTAAGTAAGGAAACAATAAGAGTAGTGGTATTTCATTGGCGATACCAAACCGAGGTCTAATATCTCCCACTTATTCTACACCTCTTATGTCTCTTTACACCGCCAGATTAGAGTCAAGCTCAAAAGGGTCTTCTTTCCCCGCTTATTATTCCAAGCCCGTTCCCTTGGCAAAAGTGTGCAACGCAGTGAAGGAGACATCTCCGACCATATAAAGTATATATATTCTTGATCAGGATCACCTCCTGAGTTGATATAGCCATGTCCGTCTGTCCGTCTGTCCGTCTGTCTGTCCGTCTGTCCGTCTGTCTGTTTCTACGCAAACTAGTCTCTCAGTTTTAAAGCTATCGAATTAAAACTTTGCACACACCCTTCTTTCCTTTGCACGCAGTATATAAGTCGGAACGGCCGGGATCGGCCGACTATATCCTATAGCTGCCATATAACTGAACGATCGGAAATGCCATAACTTTGGTGTTTTTAAAGTTAGGAAGTTGGGATTTTCTATGGGTTTTACATTTGGCCAATCAATTTGACGTACCAAATTTTTTAAGGATCGGCCGACTATATAGTATAGCTGCCATATAACTGAACGATCGGAAATGCCACAACTTTGGTGTTTGTAAAGTTAGGAAGTTGGGATTTTCTATGTGTTTTGTATTTGGCCAATCAATTTGACGTACCAAATTTTATAAGGATCGGCCGACTATATCCTATAGCTGCCATATAACTGATTGATCGGAAATGCCATAACTTTGGTGTTTTTGTAAAGTTAGGAAGTTGGGATTTTCTATGGGTTTTATTTTTGGCCAATCAATCCGACCTACCAAACTTCATAAGGATCGACCGACTATATCCTATAGCTGCCATATAAGTGATTGATCGGATATGCCATAACTTTGGTGTTTTTAAAGTTACGAAGTTGGGATTTTTTATGAGTATTAAGAATGCATCATATGAATAATTTTGGAAAATATAATTTACAGAGTATTCTGCAAGGGTATATCAACTTCGGCTCCGCCCGAAGTTAGCTTTCCTTTCTTGTTTATACATAATTTTATTAATATATTTTTCTAATATTTTTTATATATACATATATTTTATTCTAAAATATCATTTTATTTCGACATACATAATTATTGTATCCACACATGTACAATTTTTGTTTAACCAATATAAATATTGAGTTAAATCATTTGTATTTTGTTGATCAATTTAAAATTGATCATTTTCATATAACTCTCTAGTAATATATAATATAAAACCGAGGCGCATATGAAAATTGTTTTATTTATTTTATATATATTCCTTATTATTAATATAATTAATATTATATTAACAGCTTGGGGCAGAACCGAAGTAAAATTAATTATATCAGACTGCCCCCCTACCTTAACGATAATAACTGGAAACCAAATGTTGTTATTATAACCCATTGGCTATATAACCTTGGCACTACGTTTCAACTCTATTATCAGCTATGATCAAATATAACCGCTCAGCGAAGTCCCATATCGGCAAAGATAAGGATACAAATTACACGATTATATCTAATATTTATTTTTATACCCTTGCAGAGGGTATTATAATTTTGGTCAAAAGTGTGCAACGCAGTGAAGGAGACATCTCCGACCCTATAAAGTATATATATTCTTGATCAGGATCACCTCCTGAGTTGATATAGCCATGTCCGTCTGTCTGTCCGTCTGTCTGTTTCTACGCGAACTAGTCTCTCAGTTTTAAAGATATCGAATTGAAACTTTGCACACACCCTTCTTTCCTTTGCACGCAGTATATAAGTCGGAACGGCCGGGATCGGCCGACTATATCCTATAACTGCCATATAACTGATTGATCGGAAATGCCATAACTCTGCTGTTTGTTAAGTTAGGAAGTTGGGACTTTCTATGGGTTTTATATTTGGCCAATCAATCCGACGTACCAAATTTCATAAGGATCGGCCGACTATATCCTATAGCTGCCATATAACTGAACGATTGGAAATGCCATAACTTTGGTGTTTTTAAAGTTAGGAAGTTGGGATTTCTTATGAGTATTAAGAATGCCTCATATGAATAATTTTGGAGAATATAATTTACAGAATATTCTGCAAGGGTATTTCAACTTCGGCTCCGCCCGAAGTTAGCTTTCCCTTCTTGTTCTTATATATTATTGACAAAAGTATACGAATTTCATATATTTTGTTCAATCTTAGACGGACAACTACTGACCATCTTATATATGTTTTTGACCACGCTGTCTTGAAATCGGGTATTTTCAATTGTGTTTGCCACCCCACATATGGGACCTTTATATTAATATAAAAGAATATCAATATATAATTTTTATATATATTATTATTATGGTATAATACCATTAATAAATATTTTTATCCAAGTAATTCATTTATTTATTATAGGTATTGACAAAATCATATGAATATCATAAGTTTTGAGCAATACCTATACTTAGGGCAGCCAGCCCACGGTCTGCCCCCCTATATATGTTTTTGACCACGAAGCCATTCAATGGGTCATTTACAGTACTAGAAACCACCCAACGCATGGTTTTTCTATAGATTTCTATATATTTCTATATATTTCTATATATTTGCCTTATATTTCCATATATTTTTCTATGGAAATGTATAGATTTCCTTAGATTTCTATACATTTATTTTTGGCTATATAGATATAATTCATATATATATATGGTATATTATACCATTTTCATATATATTTTCATATATCTATACAATTAATTTATTTCCAACATATATTGACAAAATCATATGGATATCATATATTTTGAGCAATAGTATCAGCCACGGCCTACCCCCTATATATGTTTTTGACCACGAAGACATTCAATGGGTCATCTACAGTACTAGAAACCATCCAACGCATGGTTTTTCTATAGATTTCTAAGGATTTCTATACATTTCCTTCATATTTCCTTATTATTTCCATATATTCCTTTATTTTCATATATATTTCCATAGTTTTCTATAGATATCTATAGATTTCTATATATTTGCCTTATATTTCCATATATTTCTATATATTTTTTTATTCATTTCTATATTTTTCTATGGATATGTATAAATTTGTATAGATTTCCTTAGATTTCTATACATTTATTTTTGGCTATATAGATATAATTCATATATATATGGTATATTATACCATTTTCATATATATTTTCATATATCTATACAATTAATTTATTTCCAACATATATTGACAAAATCATATGGATATCATATATTTTGAGCAATAGTACTACTTCAGGGTGCCAGCCACGGCCTACCCCCTATATATGTTTTTGACCACGAAGACAATCAATGGGTCATTTACAGTACTAGAAACCGTCGAACGTATGGTTTCTATCAATTTATTTGTGACAATATGGATATAACTTATAGTTTTATTGGTATATTATACCATTTCTATACATTTTTTACATTTCTATATATTTTTTCATATATTTCTATAAATTTTTATAGAAATTTATACATTTCATTTAGATTCCCATATATTTCTATACATTCAAATATATTTCTATAAATTTACTTTATATTTGCTTTATATTTCTATATATTTCGTTATATTTTCGTTACATTTCGTTATATTTTTGTTGATTTCTATAGATTTCTATAGATTTCTATAGATTTCTATAGATTTCTATAGATTTCTATAGATTTCTATAGATTTCTATAGATTTCTATAGATTTCAATAGATTTCCATTGATTTGCAAATATAACTATATATCTATACATTTCTATAGATTTCTATTAATTTCCATATATTTCTATATATCTATACATTTCTATAGATTTCTATTTATTTCCATACATTTCTTTATATTTCCATATATTTCTATATATCTATACATTTCTATAGATTTCTATTTATTTCCATACATTTCTTTATATTTCCATATATTTCTATATATCTATACATTTCTATATATCTATTTATTTCCATACATTTCTATTTATTTCCATACATTTCTTTATATTTCCATATATCTATAGATTTCCATACATTTCTATACATTTTTTTATATTTCCATATATTTCTATATATCGCTATGACGTCGCTATGAACGCTTGGCCGCCACAAGCCAGTTATCCCTATGGTAACTTTTCTGACACCTCTTGTTAAAAACCCTTTAAACCAAAAAGGATCGATAGGCCGAGATTTTGCTGTCCCTGTGTGTACTGAACACCGAGATCAAGTCAGCATTTGCCCTTTTGCTCTATATGTGGTTTCTGTCCGCACTGAGCTGGCCTTGGGACACCTCCGTTATTATTTGAGAGTCAAACTCCCTACCTGGCAATGTCCTTGAATTGGATCATACCTGAGTAATTGGAGTTATACCAAATTTTCAAATCAAAAATACATAAATGCACTGATACTTTGATCAAGAAGCTTGCATCAAAACCCAATACCATAAGATATAATGGCTAGGAAATGATACACGTTCCATTTAATCAAGTAAGTAAGGAAACAATAAGAGTAGTGGTATTTCATTGGCGATACCAAACCGAGGTCTAATATCTCCCACTTATTCTACACCTCTTATGTCTCCTTACACTGCCAGATTAGAGTCAAGCTCAAAAGGGTCTTCTTTCCCCGCTAATTATTCCAAGCCCGTTCCCTTGGCTGTGGTTTCGCTAGATAGTAGATAGGGACAGTGACTGTTTCGGATCCCTCCGAACTTATTTAACGTGGCGTGTTCCACACTGAAGGGATTACAACCACGACACTCGAATATACCCACAAGTGAGCATATAGTGCACGTGTCTAGGTTAAGCGCCAG